TGAGGGTCATTTGAATGCCAAGCTCCAGGTTTTCTAAAGTGCTGCATGTGAAAAGCCAGCTGTCGTATAAACTGCTGCTACTGTGCTGTGTTAAAAGAACTCTACTCGTGTCCAGTCTCCCTCCTTCCCCAAAAGACACAAAATACACAACGCAGAGGAAAAGTGCCTTCGAGGGTGGACTGAGTGTGCAGATGGTGGTGGGCACATGACACAAGGGTTACAATTGGATCAAAAAAAATATCTCGTAGAATTTGCACTGTTCTTCAAGTTTTCTATCGTACTGCGAGGCAGATCAGTCGACGTGCACAAACAAACACTCTTCCTCACAAATTTAGTTTACTTGCACACAAATTTTTAGTTATATGATAACAAGACATTGTGCTACTTGAGTGTAGGAAAAGCAATTGTAACACAGATGCAAACAGGCTCAGCCACTACCTGGTGCTTTGCCTTGTGTAAAATCAAGCATCAGCTTATATCTGCACAAACAACCAATAAAACAATTAATACTAGTATCTGATGTGAGCTTATACACAGAGGAGGAAGAATAAGCAACTTACAACGTTCCACTCGCATGCACTTCTGCCGTGGTCCTTCATCGGCATATACTTGGTCCCTCCCAATGGTCCCTCCTAAGCCCCTCCCAATGGTCCATCCCAAGCCCCCCATTATGACCTCACAGATGTTTTGTGATTGGCCAGGAGTTCGATTGGATCTACGCTTGTTTGCTCTTCCTGAGTACCCCGGATGTTTCACTGAATTTCCAGACCTGATTTTTACAACTTGAATTTTTACAACCCAAATTCCTTAACCTGACAAAGCATCGTGAATTCGGGTTCAGCATCACAAATTCATTCTGCATCATGAATTTAGGTTGAGGTTCTGGTGACACTGATTTAACTCCAGCCCACCTTAAATAGCTCACCAACACAGTTTGGCTTTACAATGTTAAATGTGAACTTCATGATATACCCACGTTTTCCAGTGTTTAAAAACACAGATGTGCCTTTTTCTATCAATTTAAAAGTCTAATAGTGTTTGTTTCTGACACAGGAATAGTTGCTCAGTCAGGCTTTAAGCCTAGTCCTCAACTTCATAACATTGAGTTTAGGTTTTTTTGGTGTCATAAAGCTGTCATCACACAGGTGGTATCACAGCCAGTTTAAGGAGAGCCTGGCTACTTCTTACTCCTCCCATTATATCAAAAACACAACTACAAAACACTAAAGGAAGCATGTGATTGAGTCCACAAGTACAGCATCAAGCCTAACTGTAGTGAATTAGCAACCAACAGTTTTTTGTAGTATGCAATGTCATTGGTCCACCCCTGCCCCAGTTGCTAATTACCACTCGAACATCTGGTGAGTATGATTTGGTGATGCAACAGTTTTACTTTCGCAGCTGAGGAGGACATACAGACGCATCATAAGACAGCTACACTGTTAGAGTCAAACTGCCAGAGACAAAATATTAGGCCAAGATCGTGTTTAAGCTCTGATGGATCTTTAAAAGCAGTATACACAAATAAGGCCTGCAAACCTTCATAAATGTAAACTGCACTGAGGATCTCAGCTAAAAACAGTCTATGTCTAATGCCTCTTTGTTCGATGTACTTACCTGTAATAAATAATGCAGGAATCGATGCAATGAAGATGGCAGTTTTTGGTCTGCACATCTGATGCACAGCTTATAAAAATACCAATTTGGTAACATTCAGAACCCAGTACTTCTCTGAAGATTAATTTATATGCAATTACATACCAAACTTGGATTATGCCTACATTAATCTGACCTACATACATCTGAAATAGTTATTTTAGGGGCATGCAAAACGTTATAACACAACAGTAGTTGAATCAGGCCCTTTACAAATGTTTATCATGTCCTGTCACATCAGGAGATAAACCACTTAACAAATATATCTGATCACTTTTGGGTTTCTTGGGGATGCGAAGTCCTGCAACAAAACACTTCAACCAATTCAGAAGTCAAACTGCATATACATATATGACACACATATTACAATACAAAATTTCCTATTTTGCTGAGAAAATGGCTTAAGCAAGTGTGGGCAAATATTTATTAGGAGAAGTTGTGTCTGGTCGTAAATCTCAACCATAGTCACATTTCACTGACCTGTTTTACAATGGTAGCCAGCATAGCTCTTCATACTGGGTGACTGTAGGTAGAATTAAGAGCACTCAGACAGTAAAAGGCTGTTCTGTGGGCTGGTACAACCCACAGGGAACTTATGGATAAATAAACTCCAGTACAACCTACATTTATTAATTAAGGCTGCAGAGGAAGCAGCTTCCAGATTTACATTTGTTAGTACTGTATTACACTGTGTACCATGAATAGTGGTATAGTATGCAGCAGTGAGAATGGGAGAAAATTAAAATCATCTAGTCACTGCTGTTGGACAGAAAGATGTGTGGTCTCACGTGCTATTTTAGACACACTCATTCTACAAATGTCCACGGCTAATATCCCAACTTGAAGAATTTGGCCTTTTGCATTGTGCTTTGCACCACACATCAAAAACAAAAAGGTCTTGCTGCCTAGAATTCTTAGATTCACAAAGAAGACAAAGAACAGCAAGGCCAGGCTGACCCTGAGAAGATTGTGGCAAAAGCAGCCAAGCTCTGTGACCACCCCTGACTAATGGCAGTATGTTGGTATCTTACTTCCAAACTAAAGCAAATATTTAAGCATTTCTAAAGACCAGCGACTAATTGTTAATTGCTACACTGAGATAGCATTAAAACCACAGTAAACTATTAAAACCAATACAAACAACAAAACTTTTTCCATAACACATTATTGGTGGAAAAGATTGGACTATCCAAACCACAAAGGGTCACATTTACAAAGGTCTAACCAATATAATATACAGAATTATTACTTGGCTCTGCACTATCAAAGCAGAAATAAAACACAAACAATTATGCTCTCAGCAAGATTGGATATGGTAGTTTATATGATGCATGGACACTGACAGATAATCTGGTTTATAAGTGTGTCAGGTTCAAATGGAACCACACAGACCACTGTAGTCATGACATTGGTGGATACTGGATACAAGAAAGAATTTTTTGTAATGAAGAAGTAATCCCTTCCAAGTATAATTTCTTCTAAATTTGGTAACATGTTACATGTAATTTGATCACTTGAGCCTTCCAAACAGTGGGTACAGACAGCTCCATCATTTGAAAGCTAATGTGACAGTAACACGGATTCAAAAGTGAGAAGGGCAGAAGAACCTCTTTTAATGTCCCTTTTGGCTTAATAAGTTATTTGCACACAGAGGTACTGCTAGAAGGCATGTTTTTGTGCTGTGTTTCACAAGCGGATTATTACCCTCGCTCTACTATGGCATTTCCTTGCATTAATCAGAAAAAGACAGAGCGTTTTGCTAAAACAGTAAAATACAATGTTTCCTTTAAGTAGGAATTCATCTTGCTGACCTATGTGGGTCTTAGCTGTCTCATAACGTTTGATGAAAAAAAAATACCATCTAAATCTAAACCAATACAATCTAAATCTAAACTACGCAATATCAATGATTTAGCCATAAACCATAATCGTAAACTGATGAATGAACAATTGTTTGACCACCGATATTGTTAAAAAATGTTAATTCGATTGTAAATCAAAGTTTATTTATATAGTGCTTTTTACAACAGCAACCTTGAGAGGAACCAAGACTCAAAAGGGGAACCCAACAGTTTTCATTTTCTCCCTCAAAATTGATCAGCAACTGAGAGAGCAAGTGCTCGGCAGACATTAGGTGTTCGTTCACTGGTGACGGTGGTTCCACTTTGAATGGTGCCTGAGCTGCCAGAATGTAACTGCTGCACCATTTAAGGTGGAACGGGAAAATTCGCTGACTTGAGCCTTGCAACTTTTTAGTGTTTGACAGTTTCTCGTTGCAGATTAAATGTATCAGGAATATCAGGAAACCAGCTGAGTGCTAATAAAGGCAAATAAGAAAACATCTACAGTGGGGCTATGGACCCTGACGACCTGACACACCACCCTGCTGGGATGTGTGCGTGTTTAGCTTTTTGCCGCTTTAACTAGTTTGTTGTTTATTGTGAGCTGTTTCAACATTTCCAGCTAATATGGCTTATCTAGCGTTTTGGTAACAGTTATTTTCACCTATCCATCGATTCATCGCTCTATAGATGTTAGCTGACGTTGTTGTACTCTTTACTGGCGGTAAAGGATTTTTTCCATGCATCATATCATTTATTTAGTACACACATTGCTGTGTGTTTGGTGTTCTCCAACAATTCTGGACACATCCTCGAATTTCAATCTTGGCAACTATGACAAAGATAAAGTAACACACCTTTCTGTGGTGAGCTGAAGTGATACGAACGCCTGTATTTCTGAGGTTAGCAATTGTCTGAAAGGCAATAGTGGAACTTGTTTTACCCAGCGTTTACGCAGTTCTGTTTTTTGTGAAAAGGGCCTATTGATATGTGGATAGGTTGCGTCTTTGATTTTGTGCTTGCCTGTTAGTGGTTAATTGCTGACTAATGACATTTGGTTATTGGTCAATAGAATTGGCCAAAATTAGCATCTGTAGACTAAACATTCTCACTAATTCGAACAGTCTTGGAACATTTCTATTATATGTTTAGTCTCTCTAACATTTGATTTCAGCTGGCATAAATACCAAGTAAAATTGTCCGATTGTCAAAAGACTGCAATTTCGTCTTTACTTCTTAATATGATGATAATTTTGTTCAAAAAAACAGTGCTGCCATTATGCAATTTTCCTACCAACAGCCTTAGATAGAGAACAGTAATATGGACATTTTACTGCCGTGGAACTGTTTGCACTGTTATAGGCAAATACATAAATACAGTATCATTTCAGCAACTGTGACAACTCTTGAGAACAATAATTAGCCCTGTTTTTTATTTTATTGAATATGGTTCATCCGAAGCTGAGGTGCAGTCTTTCACATGCAGTCAAGCACAATTCATACCTGTGACTCAGCCTCTGGGGCTCCGATGTATAGATTGGTCTTGTAGTCGTCTATTACAGTTGGAGACAAGCTTTTCTTTTCAGACCTGAAAATAAAAAAAAAAATGCAGGGGTGGTTGGACGTCAGCTGCTCATTTTATATAACTAGTAACTTTATCTTTTGACATTTGGGAATATGCAATTTTTGCTTACAGGCTATTCAGTTCTACTATTAGACTCCGTTATTACTGTACTGCCGTCAACAAAATGACATTAAAAGTGGTTAGTATGAAAATAGTAAGTCAAGTACACACACACTAAACACATGCTTATTTCAACATCAACTAAATGTCTGTAATACAGCTAAGGAACAAATTATGGTAAAATATGTCATATAGGTTCAACCATGTGTCTGCACTCACAAAGCTTGATGTGAATAATTATTTAAACTGCTCAGTATCCATTGCTGAAAACTGCTATTTTTTTCAACCTTGTATATGTGTTGTTTTCACAAAGTGAGTCTGAATAGTGTCCCAGATTACCAATATCAGGAGAACAGAGGATGTGGCTATTTATGATCCCATTGTGACCATTGTGGTCATGTGCTTAGCTACCATGTCATATTCTGAATTGTATAGATCCTCTATTCATGGAACATGAAGTTATACTGATCAAGCATTTCAGAAAATATCTGTTGGTACAGAGGTTTCTTTTTGTGTGTGTTGGTTACCTTTACACAAAATTCTCAATTCCCAAGGATATCTCTAAATAGTCAACCGATTTCCAGCCAATCTGAAACTGAAACTGAAAACATGTACCATGTATGGCAGTACCAGTAACTGAACGTGGCATGAAGCCAAACTAACAGTGATATGATTTTCAGCCAAAACTTTAATCGCATTAAATACAGAAAACATCAACAAAACTGGCAAAACCATTTGTCAGAAAATGCTGTTTTCATCTACTCTGAACTCATGAGCATGCACTGAAAGGTCAGATAAATCCTTCGTTTGTCATTCTCTGGGCCAGTGTCCAGCTTCTGCAAAGGTCAATAGCATGACATCATCCTTTAGCCAATGGACAGCCTTCAGAATAGAAGCATCTGTTGAGAACACAGTCCTCGTCATCTATCAGCAACTGCTCATGCATTTACACCTACATCCAAATGGGCACATGGAGCCCTATGCAACAAAGAAGCTACTGTTAATCCACTAGTAATGGAAATTTCACCACCAAAGGATGAACTCACACCCATCTCAGCCGGCATTGCTATGACTAGGTAAAGGCCATGTCTCAGAAATAAGTGCAGAGGTGTGGGTTGTGAAAGTGGGTCTGTGCCTACTCCATGACAGAGTGAAGAACTGTAAGCTGGGGGGTTGATGTGGTATTTTTGGTTGTGGCAGACCAACAGTCAAAAGAGACACATCTGGATCAAACATGAGTCGTAGTAACATAAAGACTGAGGGTGGCACCATGTTGAGAGACAACTCCCACACTTTTCTGCAGTCAGAAATGGGATACAGTAGTGGAACATTTGAAGACAAAGCATAATAATTCTCAGGACACTGACAACATCATGTGCTAAATCTTGATGAAAAAGAGGAAAACAGATTCATTAGATATGCTTTCACGTGTGCTGAGTGACAGTGTACAATGGAGCATACTGTTTTCTCTTTTTCCATTTTAATCTGTCATCCAGTATTAAGCCAAGTATTAAGTCATTCATTTGGAAGACATCTAGCTCCAATTTCACCATTAGTGTCTTAATCTTTGCCAAGGATTTAGCAACATATAGTATAAGTCCACACATTGTGAAAAATGAAGGGGGAGGGACCTTCTCATGTACTGACAATTGTCTCCCTCGTTAAGCAAGCTACCAGCTAACAGCTCTAACTTTACAGTTAACTTCATGATAACATTTTTCCATCTCTCATTTTTTTCTTGCTGTCTTATGGGACAATGGGTTCCAGCTTTCTGATGGGATGGTTTGGTTACAACTGTTGACGTTGGAGAGCTGCAGATCATAGAAATGTTCATGGAGGAGCCTGCTGAAGACATGATAACAGCTGGTGAGAATGAAAATCCTCAGGCTTCAAATGTTATAGACAATGATATATAAAATGAGAATATTACAGAAAGCAGGATATAATATTGGAAAGCACCCATTCTTCATTTTGATTCTGTGTAGTCTCAATTTATCAGTGTTGTCTGGATATAGACTAAATCTAATTAATATTGCTCATAAACAATAATGCCACTGGAAAGAAAGCCTTGACTGATAGCAATTATGCCTCCATGTTCTTTTCTGAAAAAAAAAAAATACAAATGCCTTACAACTGAAAGGTGCTTAATCTTTCTAAAAATAAGAGGAATGATTCAAAATTGGTGGTTCAACATATGTCACAAAGCTTAATAATATAACAACAAAGTAGGGGTGGCCCTGTTAGAAACAACTCAACACAACTGTATTTTTATACATTTATAATTGCAATTATAATACAGTTTAATATAGCATGATGGAGGAAAAATGTTTCAAAACTTATTGTGATGCACAAATTAAATTAGCAAGTAACAATTATTAGAAGCTCTTTAGGTGTACCTATAATATTACACTCCTTTAGTCAACTAGACAAAACACGTAAGTTACAAGTGATTTGTTTTGAATTCACTAAATTCTCTCATTCACTTGAATTCTCTCATCTGGAGAACTTAGAGTGATGAATCATCTGATCAAGATCAATTGCACAAACCCCTTTGATCCTTTTGTAAAGGACCTGTTGTAAAGGACTCTCATTCTTGGGTTCTTTACAACAACCAGAGAATCTCTCTCTATCTATCTATTATTGTGTAGTCTTTTACTGTTTTAAAAATCCACACTTTTGATTCCACATCCATGAGTCACCATCCTCTTCTTGGGATGAGAACGAAGAGTCCTGTCCTCCTCTTTTGTCTTTTCCTTGCACTCCTCCACTCTCAGGGCCCAGGTCTCATGACTCATTCAGCCTGGACCCGCCAGCTCAGCAGGGCTCTTTCCAACATCTCTTGTGACTTGTGGAAACAAATCACTGTCACCTGCTGTTGCATCTTTGCAATGACCCATTTCTTCAACAAGAAACTAAAGGAAAGAATGAGGGCAGGAGTTCAGGAGTGAGAAGGTGGAAAGAGAGAGGGAACAACTGTTTCTAGCAGCTGCTTCATATCGTTACCAAAAGCTGAAGACGCTGAGGACATACTTGGCGGGCAGGGGGTGGGGGTTGAGACTGGGTGGTGGCTGTGGAATGGGGGGTTGGGTTGCATGGAAGGGGTGGGGGATGGGAAGTCAGAACAATTGACACACACACACACACACACACACACACACACACACACACACACACACACACACACACACACACACACAATTCCCTGAGCAAGATGCATAATTTTGCTGCATAGTCAAAGGTAGAGAAATAAGAGAGGTGGAGAAACCAAGCTTAAAGAATGACCTCATCCCTGTAAAAAAAGCCAACCGACTGCTGGTTAACTCTCTCCTCCCAGCGCTGTGTGACAACGTGTATTAATAACACATTCCTTGATTCTGAGGCAGGGTGATTTCCGAAACAACTCATCCTACCAGAGTCACTACTTTCTTATAAATATAGCATATCGTGTGTAGAAAAGTCTAGTCACTTTCTCCGGTAAGTAGCAAAGGCTCCATTTTCTCATTTTAAACAGAGTTGTGACTGAAAAAAAATATGCTTATATAATAGGCTAGGCATCAAAAGAAAAAACAAATAAGTAAATTTACGCAGACTACAAAGCTGCAAACATGATTTACAGTAAGGGCTGAACAGCTCCACATTAAAGAGGTCAAGTTTTAAAATAGCATAACTGGGAAAATTCAGCATGAACAACGTTATATGTTATCATATTTAAGAACCATGATGTGTCACATCTCTATACTTCACCAGAGGGCAGTATAAACCCTGTGTCATATGCTTTGGTCAAAGGTTCTAATTCAGTGGTCAACAGTTCCAGGAGATCTACAGTCCTTTAGTGTCCTTTTGCAATAACCCCTTTCTTCAACAAGAAACTGAAGGAAAGAACAAGGGGGGATCCGACAGCAGTCCACAACTCTCCCAGCTAATTTACTTCTACACAAGTCCTTGATTGACTAGATCAGATGCATGAGTGTTATGTGAGGGTAGGGGCAGCATGTTAGATGCAGATTATATCTAAGATCTGCAAGAAAGCAGATCTCCAAGAAGAGGGTTGGTGACCACTGTTCTAATTTGTTTAGACCAATAAAGCAAACATGGAAAGACTACTGCATCTGCCTAGAGGCTAAAAGTGCTGTGCTATACCACATAGAAAGAGAGCACTTAAACGTCAAGCTCAAGATCATTTTACACTACATACACACATTTATTTAAACACAATTTTCAATCATTTTTAGTGAATATATTACATTTCAATCAATGAGCTATAGTACAATATGACTAGGCTAGTAGTGTTAGCTGAGGGTTATGCAGATTGACTGCCTTTGTCAATGTAAATTTCAAGCCACATGTCACCTTATATGGCTTTCTGTGGTCTGGTTCTGAATTTAGTTTAATGCAGTGACAGAGAAATGATGAGCTTAGAGAGAGCGAGCAGTGCAATGTGCAATTATGGAGAATTTTGGCCATGGCACCAAAATTTAAAAAATGTTTTGCTGTGTATCATCCACCTTATGTACATGATGTGCAGGAGCCTTAAGAGTCCTATATGGAACTTCCAAAAAATAAATTGAAATGAGGTATAATCAGTGTGCACAATACCCCCCAGTGGGGAGGGGGGTTGAGAGTCCATGTCGGCTGGCTACTCCAGCATTGGCGGGCTGCTTGCTCGCTCGCCATAGCGGCACTGATACTAGCTTCAGTAACAGCATAATGTTTGGTTTAACACAGTTTGGTAATGTGCTCCTCCACACATTAACTGGGATCTTACATATCTCCTCTTTCATGTTTGGTTTGAGAACTGAGTAACAATTCACTCTTTGCACCAAACTCTTGGGAAATTGGGAGTTTTCAGATTTACGAATATGCTATGGAATACTGTACACTTTTTCAGAAGTGTCCCGGGCATA